TTTGATCTTCTCCTTATAACAATCATAACACAGCAGGAGCTAATGTAATCAGTTAAATAACTCGCCTCAGGTCACAGATTTTCGGATGCACGCCCATCAGACTTCAGAGCTGTTCCTCAGGTCCTGCCCATTTACGCTGTGCCTAATATGAGACGAAGCCTCAAAACCACGAGCAACAGCTAGTCCATGTTTACTCGTCTCCTCTAGCTAGTGAGTAAGAGATAGGATGGGTTCTTGACAGCCGCTCGACTAAAGTCAGCCCGGAAGTCTGGCAACAGTTTCTCCAAGACCTAAAGATGAAAACTCATTTTCCTTTCCAACACGTGTCTAGGGACAAAGCTCATTTCCATGGGGTCCGTTCTGACTCCTAGTGACACTTGAAGACAGAGTGGAACTACCCCTGTGGGTTCACAAGACCGTAGTAGAAAACCTCCTGCTTGCAGTGCTCATAGAGGCAGAACCCTAGTTCAAGTCCTTCTCCTTACAAATGGGAAGGCAGAGACCCAGAGCAAGGAACTGCTTTCCCGAAGTCACACAGCACATGGGGACTGGACTTGAATTCCATTCTCCAGACATTCCCTCTTGGCAGTGTTGTCATTCTGCACTTTCCAGTACTTTGGAATTCAAGAGCAGAAGGTACAGGGACACAGTGGTTCTAGAATCCAATTCGTGTTGCTTGAGGCAGTGAGATATAGAAGTTGGTGAGATATAGAAGCCAAGCCCTAAAAAGAGGAGGGCTTATGCTGTGTGCTTCCAAATACAGTGAAAGCCAAACTCAACAGGGCTGCTTTGTTCTTCCACATCGCACAAGTTTGCCATCTTTGACAGGGCGCAGCCACTTTCTTGTTAGGTTCTATGAAGTGAGCGCTGATTCATAGTGAAGTGATCTTATGTACCACAGACTGAAACACTGCGTGGTCCTGCGCCACCCCCACAATTGTTGTTGTATTTGACTTTGTTGTTACAGCCATTGTGCCAATCCAACTTGTTGAGGGCCTTCCTCTTTTTCACGGACCCTCTAAATTATCAAGCACGATGTCTTCCAGAGTGTGTGAGTTGAAATCATACCATCCTTGCTTCTAGGGCCCACATTGGCTATACTTCACCAAGGCACTTTTGCTAGCACTCATTTTAGTGGAAAACATTTTATTTTCCGTCTCCAACAGGTTTCTACCTTACATACATTTTAGCTTTCACAGGTTGTAGGTATGCTCATCTTTGAGAATATGTGTGTGCACATATACCTATGTGTGTGCACATATACCTATGCATATGAACATATACATAAACATATACCTACACATGTTATAGGAGCCCTGGTGCTGTAGTAGTTATGTGTTTGGCTGCAGACTGTAAGGTCAACAGCTCATAACTACCAGCAGATCTTAGGAAGAAGACAGAGCTTTCGACTCCCATAAAGAGTCACAGCCTCAGAAACTCATAGGGCAGTTCTACCTTGTTCTATAGGGTCACTATAAATTGGCATTGACTCAGTGGAAGTGAGTTTGGTTTGCAGATTTATACGTATGTATACACACATACACATACATATGCCTGTGTGTGTACACATATACATGTCTAAATATATGTGTACACATGTACAAATATACATATGTACACATATAAAGATACGTGTACACACTTACACATATACCTATACACATGTGTATAGGTATAGGTGTGTGTGTGCAATATATGTATGTATAAACCTATATATATATACACATACCTATATGCTTATGCACATATAAATACATATACCTATACACACATATAACTATATGTAAACCTATGTGCATGCATACATATACATACACATATGCATACACACAAAACTACATAAACACACATATACCTATACACATATACACCTACACACATATATATATGTATGTGTATTATATCTTTCATCTGAATTAAATATATATATAAACATAAACACCTAGGAACCCTACTGGAACTGTAGGCTAAGCATTGGACTTGTGACCACAAGATCAATTGTTCAACCCCACCAGTGACTCCTTGAGAGAAAAATGAGGCTGTCTGCTCCCATAAAGATTCACAGTCTTGCATTGGTCCTCCACTCAAGTACTCCCTCAATGCAAGAATAATTTCTTCTGTTAAATTGGCATTCTATGATGCTCACCTTTCCGACACAAC